ATGGATATGAATTAATGTAGTTGAAGATTTTAATCATATTGTGCAAAACACCCTTAAATTCAGGTGACATTCTTTCGGCCAGCTGGCATTTCTGTATGGATGAGGCAATGTGTAGACTCACTTTCAGAGGTTACCTCTTTGACCTGAGTAGCAGAAACCAGAAAACTACCTGGGCATGGCAGCCACTGTGTCCCTGCACACACAGAACGAGGAATTCAGCTCACGTGTAATCACTCTGAAAAATATATTTCACAAAAATAAGCATTGGTACCTTATTGTCAACAACATTGCATTTTGGATTTCGTACTACAGGGACTTATGAATGATCTTTGAATTTTAACTTCTAGTATTACCACTTCCATCACCTTTGGTTTTTTTCCTTCACCTTTCCTTGTTTTTTGACTCTGTTGTTTTGCTTTCAAACACTTTGTAACTACTTTTTTTAAATTTCCAAGATAGTGCTAATACAAGGCTGAAATCAAATTGTTATAGGATAGTAAATTTTACTTGAAACAATGATACTATAAATTCCTGACAATTCAGATATGGACAATTTGACTAAAAACTGTGGGTTATTTTTCCTTGAACTGATTTCTCTCTCCTCTGTCACAGAAAACTCTATCTTACCTCTTGCTCACAGTAGGTCCAGATTGTGGTCCTTCTGAGGAGGCCTTGTCTCTTCTCTCTCATTTTGGTTCTTCTACCAGCATTAGAACCTCAACTTTTTTTGTTTCTTATTCTGCCCCAAGAGAATATGCAATGTTTTTGCTGTCTGTGATATGGATTGTTTTGTGGCCACCCCAGAGTCATACACTGAATTCCTAACCTTTATTAGTTTAGAATGTGAATGCATTCAGGGACAATATCCTTAAAATTGTAATTAAGTTAAAAGGAGGTAATTAAGATGGGCTGTAACCACACATCATGGGTGTCCCTACAAGAGGAGGAAATCTAGACTCAGATGCACATGCAAAGAGAATGAATAGAGTCATTTGCAAGCCAAGGAGAGACATCAGGAGAAACCAGATCTACAGAGATCTACAGCTAAATTCTGGACTTCCAGCCTCCAGAACTGGGGAGAAAAATTTCTGTTGTCTGAGCCACACGTCATGTGGTACTTTGTTATGGCAGCTCTAGAAAACTAACTTTCAACCTCTTTCCATACCTCTGTCAATTTTTTTTTCAGTTTTACTGTTTATCCGTAAGGCCTAAACCACTTACAATAGCCTGTGGACTTTTATTCCATTACTTCTACCCCTAGTGATGCTAATTAATATCAAATAGATATTTGAATTGCATTATTATGATCAAGAAATCTCCAAGTGATCACCTGTAGGAAGTAATCTATACTAGAGATTTGTCCATATCTTTTTCTTTCTCTCCCTTTTATTTTTTTGCTTTCTTATAGCAGCCAGATTACCTCCTATTTCTAGTCATTACTGTCTTACAAGTACTGACCTCATTTTGGCCTCAGAGCACTCCATGTTTTTCTTTATAAACCAAGGCTTCAACTCTTCCTAAGCTCTAAAAACATCCATTTACAATTATTGATGTCCTTAGTGTGACAATCAGCCCAGAGCTTTTCACACGTTTTGTCAGTGTCCTCCGAAACTGCCAAGGTTAACCCAAGAAAACTTGTGGCCAAGCAGCTTGCCAAGGCCAGGCACAGAGACTCACAGGCTACTTTCTGCCTAGGCAGAATGTGGAGACAGCCATTAGGAAGCCACTTCTAAAGTTCTGTTCATCCAGAGAGTCAGTGTAAATTCTATATCTTATCAAAATCCTACACACACACAAATAACATGATTTTAAAATAATGGGGCTGAGGATTTAGCTCAGTGGTTCTGCCTCCTCGCAAGCACAAGGACCCGAGTTCAATCGCTGCTACCAAAAAAAATACATGATTAAAAACCTTACAAAAATAGTTCTGTGCTATGCCTTATGCCGGGAACTTAAGCTACCTTTTCCCCACTTTATCCCCCTAAATGTGGCAGTTACTCATCTTATGAATGCCATAACCAGTCCTAACATTTAATTGTAGCCTCTTTGGATTGCTTACGATGTATTTAAGGTGTGTTTGTCTGACGTCTTTAATCATATTCTAACTCGTACTCCGGGCTACACTGTTCACTCCTGACCAGAACTTCCTACTTACTTGGAATGTGATGTTGCTCCTTTCACAGGAACTAATCACAAATGTCAAACAAAGGGTCATTTGGTGGAAATTTTTTGAGAAGTAATGTAGAGGTAAGAACTGTGGCTTCACATACATAATATCATAGTTTAAGTTTCAGCTCTTAACTCTTGCAGGTTCTTTGACTCCTGTTGAATTATTTCAGCTCCCTGAGCCCATTTCCTCATGTATAAAGTACAAATAAGCCATACATCAATTATTTTCTATGAGAACTGGAGATGAGTCTAGGCATGAAGATGCTTAATAACTTATAAAGTGCTATTCACCTACAAGAGATCATATTCTTCAGCATTATGGATTTAAATTTGTTTTTCTTAGTATATGTTTGTAGTACATAATGTTTACATTCTTTGTGGGGGGTTGGTGCATGTACATAATATATCTTCCTTCCTTTTTTTCACCCCCTTTCCCTATAGTCCTCCTCCAATTCTCTCTTGATTTTCTTCTCTCTCTTGTTTTGTAGCTGTTTGCAACACATAATATTCACATACCTTGCGTGGAGTTAGTACATGTACATAACACATCTTAACTCCCCCCCCCACCTTTTCCACACATGGGAAAGGCAGCATTAGAAATTTTATCATCATCAATATTGACCTATAATGAATGGCATCTCTGCGATGTCATTTTCTTAGAAAAAAAAAGATGAGATGGTCCATGGACTACAAAATTTCTTCTTCTTTTAACATTTTATCTTCATTTCTCCTTATGGTGATAGTGAGAATGTGTGGGATTGGCTGGGGTGGCTGTGTAGGCCAGACCTTCTAAGTGAGAATCGAAGCCTTATATTCAAAGGGCCTCTCACTCACATCCTACTTGCCAGTGAGCAGGATCACATCTCCTGTGGGGGCTGTGTGTATCTTTAGGGAAAGGGTGGTGTGATGATATGAAGCGAATTTCTGGCAGTGCAGATGGAGAAATGCCACTCTCCGTGAGTTTATGGTTCTAATGAGTTTCTCTTCAGTCTGGCATATATCAAATCACAGCTATATCCTTATGCCTTTAAACTCTTATTCCCGAAATGATAAGAAATAAAATCTGAGGATAAATATTTTCTCACTTCCTTTCTAAGTGCATGTTTTTCAATATACCTTCCCCATACCTCAAAAATGGAAACAAAGTCTTTGTAAATAGGGAAGGGTGAAGGGGGTAAAGGCAGGGCAGGAGTATGGGGAAAAAAATAAGAACCAAGACACATCATGTAAAGGTACAAGATTCAAAGGTGAATGTAACTGTATTGTTTGCTTTAAATGGACCAATAAACTTAATGGGAAAAAACTGAGTTCCTTGGCATTTCTCTCTTTTCTTGAAGGAGGAGGTAGGAATAAAGATATGATTCATAGAGGTAGAAATGGAACCAACCTATATTTACAAAATAATTGCTAAAATGAAGTATTATTTAACATTAAACAGGATCTCTGAGAGTGCTAAAACGATCTAAAGATTTCTCTCAATAGCATGAGTCGTAAATGTGAAGGTGTTTGTAGCTCTGTACTTTCTGAGCTTAAGTCCATATTTTAATTAAAAGGAGGCAGAGTAAGCTATGTGATCGCAGAGGTTTGGATTCTTCCCTAGGAAAAGTGGCAGTTCTAAAACAATGCTTTAAAAATCATTTTTTACTACTGAAGTGCTCAAGTGAGAAATTTAAAAATGCCTAACTTCTCTCCATATTTCCAGAAGCATAAAAGCTAAATGGAGAGGTCAAAAGAGTTTGATTGTCTTTGGAGAACGTGTTACCATGAGTACAAATTGTTCTTCTCTGAGTTTTGAAACAGATTATTTTATAGACTATAGAAATTCTTGCCCCCAAATTGTAAAAGCTCAGAATTATTGTAGAAATAGTATACATTCCTGGTCGATATTCTGAGGTCACCCATGATTTTCTCCAGCCACTCACCTTTTCTAATGATACTTTGCTCTAATGTGGTAGCATCTTGCATTGTGGTCATGTATGTCAATTATCATCTTGTCCAAACGTAAGCAATTTCATACCCTCTGGACTTTTATCCCTAGCAGTTCCTCAACTTGAAACAGTTTTCTAGTTATGGCTACCTACTTGATTTCTTAAGTCCCCATTGAAATGCCACTTCCTCCACAGTAGACTTCTTTAACTCTCAAGTGGAATATTTACCTCCGATTTTATATTTTTGGTACTTTTGTTACATATAATAGTACTCACCGTGTAATTTGACTGGCTTACAAGTTGTGAAGCACCTCTTTTCTTCTTTGATAGTAAGCAACTTACTGACAAGTTATATTACTTCAAATTTTTTGGCTTCTTGTAAGTGGTGGGTATTTTATAAACATGTAATGAGTGGATAAATAGATTGATGGATGGGTGGACAAGTTAGGCAACACCTGCAGCAGATGGAATTAACTGTGAATTCAATATCTTATCTTTAGTCTTGTCTTTACCTTGACTTAAGATGATTGCTTTGTACATTGTATTGAGTACATATGCACATGCTGAATCTCCATTATTTATCGTTATTATTTTTGTGTGCAACACTGCTGTTTATTTGAGAAAACATGCCTTATTCTCTCAGTAATTATCTGCTCAATCCATGAAAAGCAGGTGGTGCTGACTCAATCTCAAACTGTGGCCCCTGATCCAGGCCAAATACAGCATATCATTTCCTGAAGTACAGTATCGATTTAGGGGTTAAAACAAGATCCAAAGTGGTACAAGAAGACTTTTTTTCTTTGTTTGGAGGGTGAGACTCTGCTGTGAGAGTTACTAGTGTAAACTTGATGTGAGCTAGAGCCACGGTAACATTTGTTCCCCCACCTCCCCAAACAGGTGAAAAGGTAGAACTGAGAGATGGAAAGAGAAAAAATTGGGATGGGCGGTGTTTACATCATTACGTCTGAGTCTGTGAGTAAAAATCACTTTATTTTTTTACATTAATTCAATTCAATTATTATGTCTTGGGAACAAGAGACTTCTATTTCGTATAGAGGATAAAAATAAATTGACCCACATCATCACATTAAAGAGAAAACAATTGCATCTATGAAGACAATCAGTACAGTTGACTGTAAATCCAGTTGGTGATAGGAAAAAAGAAAAAAATGATTAAAAAACAAAGTATATAAAAATGTATACCTCCATGCTTTCCCCTCACCTCCTTTAAGTCTTTTTTCAAATTTAACTTTATTTTTTCTTTCCCAAACTCATCACCTTTCTGTCTCTTCACTGCTACTCTTATGATTCAAGTCATCATTCTCTCACTTCCACCACAACTGTCTCTACACATTTAATTCTCCGCTGAAGGCCAAGATAGTCTTGCTGAAACAATCTGTATCATGTCAGTTATTTGTTTGAAACACTTGCTTTTTCTCCCATTACTTTCAGAATAAATTTCAAATTTCCTAGTTAAATTTATAACACGCTATTTTGTATCTATTTTAATCTCTTTCAACTTTCTCCTAGCCTTCCTTCTTTTAGCTGTACTGATTTTTTTTGTTTTTTGAGACAGGGTCTCACTATGTAGTTCAGACTGCTCTGGAACTCACTGTGAGTCCAGGCTGGTCTCGAACTCGCAGTGATCCTTCTGCCTCAGCCTCCCAAGTGCTGGGATTACAGGCGTGCACCACCACACCTGGCTAGCTGTACTGATTTAAAAAAAAAATTAATTGAACATGTCATTCTTTTTCTTTATTCCAGTACTTTGTATATTTTGGTCTCATCTGTCCATTAAAATGTTTTTTCCCATAGTTAGTGAATTGAATAATGTCTCCACAAAAGTCATATCCACTTGGAACCTCAGAATGACTTTATTTGGAAAAAGAGTCTTTGCAGAACAGTAAGGACAAAGATGAGATTATATTGAAATAGAAGGAAGACTAGATTCCACAGAAGTGTCCTTATATAAGACAGAAAAGGATATATAAGGATGTGTCAAAAAAGACCATATGAAGATGAAAGGGGAAACTAGAATGATTCACCAATAAGCCAAGATATACCAAGAATTTTCCATACCACTGTAAGAGAGGAAAGAGGTACCCAGTGGATGGTCTTCTCATAGGCCTTGTGGACACCTTGAATTAAATTTCTGTTCTCTTGAACTATGATAATGATAATCAGTTTCTATTTTCTTAAAGCACTCAGTTTATTACAGCAACCCTTGGAAACTAAAACAACTTTCTTTAGGTATTGCTGCATACAGTGCTGCACTTTAAACCACTACTTTCACTCAAGTGTTCACTTGATGTTCTATCATAAGGTCCACTACACTATGTTTAAATGTTCTTTTACTTGTCTTCTCATGGGCTATACCAGATGGGGCTCTCTCACTCTCTGTTGGGTCTCTGGGACCTGTCGTATGCCCAGTAAGTAGCAGCTTTCCATAAATGTGCTACTTTAATTGATTTTCCATATCTTATACTCTTCTGTCTTTTGGGAACCTGGTAAAGTAGTTGATGCACAGCAAATTCTCAGTAAATGTTGTTTCCTCAGTAATGGACTCTGTCAGTTTACTTGTGTTGTTAGTAGTGGTACTGCTTATCAGTGATGCTTGTCCCGACTGAAGTGTAGATTGTAGAGTTTAGGATGGGTCTCTTTGTGGAGTTCTTTATCATCCCACAATAATTCCTTATGAATAGCCCTATTAAGTAACCCTGTAAGGCACTTTTAGCAGTTGTTGTTATTTTTCCTAATTTATAGGGGAAGCCAAATTATAATTAGAAAGTGACTGGGGAACCGAGAAGCTTAAATTCTCTATTCATTATCCCCACCACTAAATCTTGACATGCGGAATTACATTGAGACAAAACCGTTTCAATTTCTAATTATCCATTCGAGTAAAATTGTTTTAATGATCAGTTATTGGTACAGGAAAAGTTGTTGGGAGAATTTAAGCAAGATAATGGTGATATAAAGCAGTGGGGTTCTAAAAGCATAGGATCCAGAAGAACCTCAGAAGATAATAGATACCTATGGTTGCTGTAAGCTGAATGGTAGCAGACATTTATGGTTGTCATAGATCTGAGATCTTTCCAAATGTTACCTACTTTATTAGAGATATGTAGGGACAGAAAACTAGATGATGTGAAAATTAAATGGAAAACAGGTGGAGAAAAAAGCAGAGTATACATTCTTATTCTTAAAAAAAGAAACAAGAGGAAACACAATTGTGCCCTATGATGAATCAAAAGTCTACCAAAGTCATTGACAGCAAGGGAAATCGAGAGTGAAAATCCAAGAACTCTGGGATGGAGAAACAGTCAAATAAAGTGAAATTTTTACAGTGTCAAAATTTCTGCTTGGCAGGTACTTGGAGGCCAGTCTGACTCGATATTTTCAGATTTCTCCTAAGATAAACAAATGATGTTTGCTCTCTGAATAAGCAGACATAAACTCACAGAAATATATATATATATATATATATGTATATATATATATGTATTGTATGTATATTTGTTGAAAGAAGAAAATCCTTTTTTTCTTAGTAAGAAGGAAACATAGAGTATGCTAATCATGCACTTTGGATGGAAGAATACAAGACTGTTATGTTTAGCAGGCCAGAGTTGGAGGAGTTAAGGATCCCCACCACCTCCACTCCAGGTGGGACACTATGTGAAGGCACGCGCAGACTGTGTTGGTGCAAATCTTGGATCTACTGCCAGTTCACCTGTGTAATTAGGCATGTCTCTCCATCTGTTTTTAATGTCTCAGAATCATCACCTGTAAGATGGGGGTAAAATAGTTCGCAAAATCCATAGGGCTGCACTAAGAGTAAAAGGAGTTACTGTGTTATGGTGTAGAATATCGCATTGCACACAGGGATAACCATATTTTTAATATCTATTTATATGGATTCAGGCATAAAATTAGAAAGGTGAGAGACCAGTATATGTCCAGTACTCAGACTATAAGAACTGGTGGACTCTGCTTCTTATTGGCTGCGTGCTATGTATGGGAAATGGTTGAACTTCTCTAAACCTTTTTTTCCTCTTTGCTCAGAATAGATGAAATACTCATAGGACCTCAGTTATGAGATTGCTGTGTCATATAAAGCAATTAATTATTTTCCTGGCGCATGGTATAAATTCTACATATGGTAGCTATTGCCATGACAGATTGAGAATTCTGAATGTATTGGCTATGGAAACCAGTAGGCCTGCAAAAATAACAGGTAAAGTAGTGGAAATTTTTATTCCATGAGCCCTAAAAGCAAAAGCCAACTTATTTCAGGCCTTCAAAGAGTATTTTTAAAAAATCCAAACCACACCAACTAAACAAACAAAGACAAACAAAAAATTAAGAAAACAGCTACTAAAATAAGATGCTGAGTTTTAAACTTTGAGGTGAATATTCTTTTGGTGTGTGTGTGTGTGTGTGTGTGTGTGTGTGTGTGTGTGTGTGTGTTTATAGGTACCAAAGTAATACTAGATATTCCTTTATCAGATCCTATTTGGGCATGGAAACAAAGCTGAGTTTAGTGATACACTTCTGATATCCAGAATTAATTTTTTGGATGAAGTCAAATGCTAGTATAGTTATTGGAAGCCTGTAAATATTTTAAAATAGTACACGGAGAGTAAGTGGATAAAAAGGTGATTAAAATGTTTCAAAAAAATTCAGCTTTTGTTTAGATCTTACTACTCTAATTTGCATCATCTGAGGGCTGAGATACAACCCTAAGGCAAGAAATTGTTGATAAAAATACCCTCTTGAGGTAGCTTTGAAAAGCTAAGCTAAATGTAATGGGTGAGTGGTGGATTAACTAATGATCAACCTGGAACACCCATCGGAACTGAATCTGTTTGGTTGGGCTTGGAAGACCCATCTGAGGATTATTGCCAATGGCATAAGAAGAGAACTGGACGGAAACATGGTGGGCTGTTGATTTCCTAGGAGGAGCTTGCTGTTTGCAGTTGCTTTTCCTGATGCGAGCTTATCTGTCTGGAGGAGGAGCTCAGGTCTTCATTGTCACTGGGAATGGACACTGTTCTCATCAGGTGAGCTCCGGTCGTCCCCATCAGTGTCACTTCCGGCCTCCAGTGTAGACGCCTCAGCCCGGCGGCCCAGATCCTTCTCTCCACCTGCACAGGTCTTCTGGCTTTCACCCCTGCTCTTTGGGCCTTCCAGGTGCAGATCGTCAATACAGACATGCATGAGTTATTACCACGGGCTCTAGGCCACTGGCTGGACTCCTGGGGGACATTGCCTTGGGCTCTAGGCCTTCACATGGACTTATGCGGACACTGCTGTGGGATCCAGGCCCTTCACTGGCTCCTGTGGGTCTCTAGTGTGCAGTTAGATCTCTTGCAGTCCTCTGCATTTGACTTTCTAGGTGACTATTATAAAATAATCCTATAAACTATGTGTCCTGTATTAAATCTATTTCCCTTGCAAACCCTAACCACAACGAGTAATGATTAATACTGTTGAAATAAATAAGCGCCTGTGTATAAGAGGGAGGGCACTGCACCAAATATATTCTTCCATTTAATCCTTATAATAAGGGCATAAAGAATGTAACTAACATATTTGTGATTTGAGATTATATATTTGTATTCAGATAGGATGTGGTTCCAATTCTACATTTATTTTCTTCTACCTGTGTGAATCTAGGCACAATAAATTCCTGTTTTCACATGTAAATTGGAGCCAATAAATCTGGCTCCCTAGTTTCTTCTGAGGATTGTGTACAAATTGAATGGGAATATCCTAGCACAAGTCATGGCACAGAGTGATTGATCAATATGAAGTTATTACTCTTGGGGTTTTTTATACACACGAGGAAATTATGTCCTAGGAGAAGGTAAAAACTGTCTAAAACCCAAAATGCTAATTAGTGGAGAATTTGGCAGGGTGGAATGAAATCCATGTTATTTATATGCACTGCTAAGTTCCTCAACTCTTCACCC